TGAACACTTTTTTCTATAAGTCTTTGTAATTACGGGCCCAGGCCTGATCACAGTTAGTCTGCTCTGGTTTTGACAGGGTTGATTGTGTCTACCAGGGTTGCAGTGCTGAAACTTCAACCCATTGTGAGGTGCACAGTGGAAAGGTAGTCAGAGCATGGTGTTTAAAGGTTGGATCTTTGGGGGTGGTCAGGGTCAGATGAAGTCATTCCTGTGGAGCTTGCATGACTGGGCATTCAAAGATGGCTTTGTGAGCAAAGAGGACACAGGCTCTGGATCTCTGGGGAGGCTGGGTGCAAGAACTCCCGGAAGCTTGAGATAAACACATTTCTTTCTTTATAATGTTACCCAGCTTTGGTGATTTCATTATAGTAACCACAAAGCCTAATTGACAGAGTTGTACTTAACTCTGCTTCCAAATTAGCCTTCTGGAGTGCCCGCTTCTGCTCAGGGATTTAAGAGTTTAGATGGGTAGTGCTGGCTGCCGTTCCATATGAGTTCCACGAAGCAAATGTTGGTCTCCAAAACCTCCTTTGGAGACCACCAAGCTGGAGCTTGCTTACAATTTTGTTTCCATCTGAGTTAAGGTTTGTAGTTTCTTTTGGAGCTCAGAGTTCTCATATGTTTCTGGTTTGTGTAACCACAGTGTCATTAGAAATAGTCCAATACCAGGTTAAGATATCCAGAAGTGATGAGAATTTTAGTCATAATAGAATCATGATATTTTAGGAAATTGTCAAAATTCAACTGGCAAACACAGTGTTTTAATATAGTAACCTCACTGCTTGGTACTATGACTGTCAACAGTGATTCAGGCTGCTGTGAAAATGTTTACATTGACTTTTCATTGCTATCAAGTTTTGTATCAGTATCTAAAATTCTGCATTAAACTTGGAAATGTACTCTGCTTTACATTTCACAGTGGATTTGTCTACCTAAATGGAAACACTAGGTGGACGTCTGAGTAGTGCATTCATTTCTTTGATTATTTTCTTTTATTTCCCTGTGGTTTAGCTTAGTAAGAAACTCATGAAATAATCACACATAAGTTAGTCCTGAGAAACATCTTCCCCCTTTTTTTTTCCTGCAGAAGACTATTTCTGTCCTTGCTAATGTGTCACTTTAATAACCCCTAGGGCAAGAGAGTTTCAGGTGATTTCTGATTGATTTTGTTGGTTTTTTGTTGCAGTTAAATATTATTTTAATTGTGAAATTTTTGGTAAGTGCTACCAGAATAATTTTTGCCTTCATATACATATTTCAGAAAATATTTCTATTCTGTACTTTCAAAATCAGTTTTCTTTTCTGTTTTACATTATTCAAGAATCTGAAAGTTGAGCTTAGACTCAATTTTATCCCGGACTTTACATTTTTGTCAAAAATTAATAATCTAAAAATCTTGGTGCCTTTAATAGAAAAGGCAACAAGCGATCACTTAGTACAAAGCACTAATGAAGACATTCCTTCCTGCAAGGGCGAGAGGGTAAATGGCTTCCTGGTGGTGGTGTGTGGTGGAGGAAACCCAGAATCCAGCTCTCAGGCCTCCACTGCGGGCCTCTCTCTGCATCTGCTACTTTGGCGCAATTGTGTTAACCTTGGACTGCACAGGCAGGTGAAGGGAAGCAAGCGGATGTTCGGTGAATGCTTTTCTCCCTCGGTTGCACTGGAAAAGTAAAAACGCAGCATGCCGAGCAGGGCAGAGGTGCCCTGCCAAGGGCTTCATCTTCTCAGCTCGGAACTTCGGTCCTTCTGTGCAGGTGATCCTGGAGTTGCAGAAGAGCAGTTTCTTCCATCTCAGTAGAAATTATCCCATTTCTCATCCCAACAGTAGAATTACTGACCACACTGCCCTATGGTTCAGAATATGAAAAGTCCAAGATAGAATTATCTCTTTGCCAGTAGAAATTTCCCATTTCTCATCCCAACAGTAGAATTACTGACCACACTGCCCTATGGTTCAGAATATGAAAAATCCAAGATAGAATTATCTCTTTGCCTTTACATACCACTGCTCAGTTCTACAGAAACATGTTTTTCCAATTCTTTGAGAATACTTCTGTTCCCTCTGTGCTTATCTGTAAAGGACAGCAGGAGAAAATGCCTAATTAAGAACGATGTAGACAGTCCTGCTCTTACCAGGGGCCTCAGAAGCCTGCCTCAAGGCTGCTCATCTGGGATCGCTGTTCAAAGCTGAGTGCTAATTGCTATTTTCCTGCACAGGTGAGTGGGTACATGCTCCAACAGAAGTGGGCACAGTTACTATTTCTCCCCCTGAGGAAGAGTGTAAGGGAGCCCGGGAAGCCAAGGTCTCCGTCCACACTGGCAGCCTTGTTTTTTAATTCTGTCCCACAGCCGCCAGTGCCCTGGCATCCTCTGATACCGATTTTCTCTTTGCTAGTGCAATTCTCAAGCACGTAAAACTAAGTGCAGCTACAGTAGCACTGAAGAATACTCAAAAAAAGTTCGCATAAAATTTGAAGAAGAAAGCAGTGTTTACACATAACATAGCCGGGAAGGGACAGCCGCAGTGGTGTGGTCCAGACTTAGTCATAATACAGAGTCTCTTCCCACCTCCAGATGGTAATAGGCCACCAAAGTACCAGGGAGAGAGAAGAGCATTCCTTTTGTTCCCTCAGTTTTTGATGATTTAGACCTCTGGCATATTCTCACCTGAAACAAGGGTTTAGAGCAAACAGTGAGCAGGTCAGGAGAACCTGAGTGTTTCTGTTGACCACTGACGGCCGTGTGGGGACTGTGTTCCCCTCTCAGAGACGTTACCCTCATCAGTCCTCCATGTACTCTGCTAACACCTGTACTCACAAGAGCCGGCACCAAAGCCCTGGGCTCAGAGGGCAGTTCCCCATATCTGGTCCTGACTTTGGTCCCGAGCTCCACTGCAAGGCATTTTGGTCTTCAATGTATCCCCTTCTCTCTGGGCTCTGGATCATTTCAGAGATGCTGTCCTTGACATCAGGCCCTGAACTGTAACCCCTGAGTCATTGGCCACATCTGGCTTCTTTCTTGTCTCCTCACCGCTTGGTAGAAATGCACACTTGATCCCTTCTGGTGGTTCTGGGTCATTGGCAGGACCATATTTCAGACTTTATTGGTGGTTTCCTCACTGACCTTTGTGCACTCTCTCCCACTCTTTCTAGTCCATCTCATACCCTTCAGACAGTAAAACTTCTCCCTGTACCCTTAAAGTCTGTATCCCACAGATTTGGTGATTCCATAACAACTATCATATCTGGTCTTGCACAAAAAGGAAAACAAACTTTAACAGTTTTGTGTTAACTCCTAAGTGTAAGAATTCTGCAGACAGACATGCTCGTCCTCCCTGAGTTGGTGTCACGCCTACTTCTCTTAAATTACCTCCCCTCCACAACTTTGGGTGCACCCAAGTCACCAGCCTTCATCTCTGCTCAGCTACAGTCTTGATTCTGGCTACTGCTGTGAGAATCCTTCTCTTTGGAGAACTGTCCACTGCTTAAACTCGACAATGTTGCAGCAAACATTTCCCAGCCTCTGGGTTAGTTGTGAAAAGGATCAGACTCTTGGATTCAAATCCATGCCCAGGCAGGGGGATCTAAATTAAGGTGAGCTGACAAATGCCCTGCAGGTCTCGCAGCTCACAGCAGTAGAGCCTAAGTCTCATGCCTCAGGTCCTTGGCAAGGTGGCAATGGTTCTGTCTGATGGCTTCGCCCAGTAACACGCAGACTCCCAGATTTCACCTTTTCAGATCTCATGCCTGGTCCTTGGCAAGGTGGCAATGGTTCTGTCTGATGGCTTTGCCCAGTGTGCAGAGGGAAGAGAACCAGAGTCACACACGGGCTTTTAGAGTCTCCTGCACTGCCTGCAGCTATGCAGGGGAACAAACCCTACCTCGGTTGTGGACAGGGAACAACTAAAACCTTTGATAAAGCAGTCGCTGGTGGACACAGGGCTTCCTAAACCACAGTGCCCATTGTGATGATGGAAAGAAAGAAGGGTGCCTATTGTGAAGGGTTGCTCTGAAGGGTAAATGTGATGATACATCCTACAAAGGGCTTGCTGGGAGTTTGGTGCTATACACGTGCTAAATAAGCTTGAGTTATAATAGGTTTCTATGGAGCCATCTACAGGCAGCACAGAGGCCTCAGGCCTCTTGCTCTTGGTTTCTTCCAGGCCAAACAAGATGAGCCAGGGCTTTGTGCTGGTTGCTTATTTCAGAGAAGGGCCCTGGGGAGCAGGAGTGAGGAAGTGGGAAAAGGAAAACTGGAAAGTCTCTTCCCATGTGGCGCCCACACTGAGTCCCACAGGGACAGAAGAACCATCCACCTCAGAGAAGAAAGTGAGAGAAACAGGGACAAAGGGAAGGAGCAAAGGTCTGAGCACGGAGGGGCTGAGAATGAGATCGAGGGCTCAGGAAGTGGCCAAGACAGTGCTCAGGAAGATGCTGGTCCTTTTCCTTTTCACACTTCCGAGGTCCCACTCGGGCTCTTGGAAACATGTGATTTTAGTCGTCATCACCACATGCTCAATGCAGAATCCTGTTCTGTTAGTCTTTCTTTATTTATTGTACTTTAAATATACACTAGGAACATTTATTTTAACACTTCTGAGTGACATTTCTCCGTGCCCAATGAATCCTCACGTTGTAGGGGCACCTTTGCCTGTGTGTTCACCTGGTTTTGATGGAGACTCTGGGCCTTTGTGATCAGACACACGGCATGCGACGCTTTCCACCCCTGGCCTCCCCAGAGCCTCCAGAGAATGAACCATGGCATTCCAAGGCCAACTTTGGCGCCACAGTCAGAAGCCCCATCAGATGAGGCGGCAAGGACAGAAGAGCCGGGAGGGGGACAGTCGGCTCCCAGTCGGCTTCCTGGGGCTGTCAGATTGCCCACCTGCCCCTTGACCTCAGGGTCTCAGGAGCTGACAGAGTCCTGGCTGCCTGTAGACCTCTGAGTCTGGAAAGCCTCCCTGGACCCAGCGCTGTCAGCCTGTAAACAAAGCAACTTACAGCTCCTCAGAGTTCCATGGCCTCGTAAGCAGTTAGATGTATCATTGCCATCATCTCTGGAAAGATCCTTAGACATCAGCTCTCCACCTGAGACATGGGAGTTATAATACGTTAGAGTACTGATTCAGGTGAACAAGAATATGGACCCTGTAAATGATTTCCAAAGAGCCTGATGTACACAAAAATGCATTTGTAATAACTGTTATTAATGAAGATTGCCTTTTGGCATTTTAATTGAAAACATCTAATGTGGACTCTTTGGAGCCAAGATTCAGATACTTAATACAGGTTACTTGAATGCCTTATAATTATTTTAAATTTCAGTCGTTGGCATTTTCTGAATTAACTAAAGATAAATGCCACAGTCTTCTGAGGAAATCTTCTCTGAGCACTCTCTTCTTTTGAGATGCTCTACTCTAAGAACTAAATTCTGGGACGATCCCATCGGGCGTGGCAGTAGCTGGGCAAGCCAGCTCTGAGTGCAGGGAAGATGGAGTCACAGCTGGGCGGCAGTGGGTAATGCACAGAAAAACGACGCGGAAGGGGAGATACTGCCTTATCATCAGTGAGGCTGCAATGATCCGCTGGGAACTCAGAGAGCAGGTGATGGGCCCTGATGCCACATGTTAATGTTTATATGAAACATAGCTCCCTCTCAAGATGACTGTGCTATTTCTTTAGATGCATATTTTATAAGGAAATCTTCAAAAAGTAATATTGATATACTCATTGATAAAGCAAAACGTCTACTTCCAAATAAAAATTTATAGTTTTTAATAAAAGTCAGCAAGTGTCATCTCCTCCGAGTTTTAATTTCCTTGTCTGTGGAATCTAGACGCGGTCTGTGCTGTCTCCAGCTCCTGCCTGCTGTAGGTCTTTGAAGACAGTGAGCTGTGCTGAGTCTGTTCTCCAGGGATGCTTAGGAAGGGAAGTTCACCCTTTGATACTTTGGCTAGTGACACTGAGATGCGGCTTAGCAAGTTAGGCAGAAATACAAAATGTCCTCCCTAAATGCAGGAAAAAATTCCTGGTCCTACCCCAAGTCTTTACCAAGAGAGTAGCCTACCACCGTATATTAAAAGCAAAAATGTGAATTTCCTGGGATAATAGGTATCCTGAAATTAGTAGATATAAATATAAATGATATTTTTCTGTTGCTAGCAATCCTATTTCTCACTTTGGCATGCAAATGAAAGCATGAGTCTAACGAGTACACGAAAGATGAAAGTGCAGTCGCTGACAATAGAGACAGTCGCTGTTTACATTTCCTAGCAGAAAGCAAGACAGCACTTTGGGTAGGAAGATCACTTTTAAGTAATAATTTATTGTGATATTTTACGGCATTCTTACCAGAAGTATGATACGGATTTATTTCACCTGTGGTATGAACCTCACAGAGCTATGCTAAGCACTGAAGTGTGGGAGGGAGGGAGGGAAGACAGAGGTGGGTGGACAGTGAGAAGCTGATGGCAAAGCTTGGTTCTATTGTCTCCATCCAGTCGGAGCGCAGGACTGCACTGCAAAACAAGCCGCTCACAGGTCACAGCAAAAGGGCCCAGAATGGTTAACTAATACTTGTGCTACCAAACGTGTGGGGAAGTTAGTTTGAAGTAGTTGTTACTCATTCAGTACTGGGAAAGTGTTCGAAGCAGTGTTGGTCGATCACCCCTGAAGTCTGCGTCCTGCATGTTCACACATCCCGGCGTCCGGCCAGCTCTCAGCGTGGACACACAGTGCAGGACTTGACACGACGAGGCTGCTCTCTCCAAACACTGTGCGTGTGCGCTTTCTCTGTGGAGGAGTAAAAAGTGCTCTCACGGTGTGCAGCACCAGAATAACTCCTGTCATGTTTCGGTTCTCCTGCGACTGCACCACCTCCAATGTCGGACTTTACAGCTAATCTCCATTTTCCTCACAACACTTAACATTTTAATGGCTATTACATCGATGGAGTATTTCCCGTATTTCGTTAGGACAGAGCTCACACTCCAGGAAGCACTTGGTGAAGAACGTATGTTTTATTTCTCTTCAGTTAGCAAACTTTGTCTACATGGGTTGGCCAATTATACGCTCATCAACATTATAGAATTTTATTTCCTTTGAAAGTGTACTTAATTAAAAACTTGATGTTCCATGGCTAGTTAATTGGCCTTGTTTTAATTAGCGCATCTGCAGAACACTTCAGGCTCCACATTTTCCTCATCTGTGGCTAATTGTCCTTTGGTGGCTTGTTACTGTGTGGTGCTTCCCTACTTGTTAAGGAGTCCTCTGACTGACTTAAGCTTATTTAAAAATCCATGGGACTGAATGGTTATCTCAAATTATAATTTAACTATCTCAATCAGTGTCCAAAAATTGCACATGGACACACCTGGCTAGAAATGTGCCGTAGGGGATATACATCATAATCCCATTTCAGTTTCAACCTTTGGGATTTAATAGGACATATAAGAGTATGGGACATAATTATGAGTATAGCTTGTTATATTTGAGCTTATATTTTAATCTTTTTTCAGTGAGAAAGCTTCACAGGGCAGTCCCTGAAGTGGCCAGGGAGAAGAGTGCCCACACGGCTCCCTGACTAACTCCTCCAGGGACAGATTTGCAAGGCGAAGCACAGGTCCGTCCGTGGCCAGGGCTGGGCTCTTCCCAGGAAGAAGGAATCCTACTCTCTCCGAGAGCTCTCTGTCCTCTGTCGGAGGCAGGTGAACGCGCTGTGTCAGAGCAGGCTGTGCTGGGCGAGGCCCCGGGTGGGTGGAAAGGGGTCCTACAGTCCTCACTCCAGGCTGGTCTTTTCACTTTCAGTGCAACAAGCAACTACTTGCTGCACGAACGAGGTGCCTCGGCACCTCTCTGACCGCCCTCCGGCTCCGCGAAGGGGTGCATGCTCAGGAGCCAGTGAAATACAAGTGGCTGCAGAAGCCCATGAAGGTCTGCAGTGCGCACCAGGCCAGGGCTAATGCCCTGACGCCTGTCTCCTCTGCCCCACGCTCACCTGCGGCTGGGCTGGAAAGGACACCATTTACCTCTCCCTTCCCAGGACCCTGACGCGGAAGATGCTGTCCACTAATTTCCCCTCCCCGTGTCAGGAAATATCACGGTAAAACACCCTGGACGACGTTAGATTTTTATGTCAGAGTTCAGTGTTCTTTCCTTCCAACATGATTTAAGATGCTAAACAGATTTCTAATTTAGTGTTGAATTTAATAAAAACACATTGCTAAAATCATTGCTAGCAAAATATTCTAGTCTCAGCAAAAGCTGAGCAAAGAGGTTTTCTTTGAAATTTAATTAGCCTACATGATTCTTGCCTAACGTTGTAATTTATACTGGCTGTATAAATAATATTTCCATGTAACTGCAAGACATGGAGCACTTTTAAAATATGAAAATCACACCTTTTCCTACTTTGTCTATTAATACCTGTGCTCCCTACTTTATTTTGATTTTTTTAAAGCTAAGCAGATAATTAGATTAAGTAACAGTCATGGATTATAGGTCTTCTATAAGCTTTAGGACGGGGAAGGTGAATCAGCTGAGTGGACAGATTTGAAGACGTTTCCAAACATCCTTATCCTGTGCCTATCCCTCCCTGCAAAGGAAACACACAGTTTGCTAAGATAACGTCACAAGTAAATGCCTGCTTTTAAATGCATAGCCATGTAAGCAGGACACTGAAAACATTAAAATAAAATCTACTCAGGTCTAACTCTGAAACTGTCTTCATGAAAGACTGCATCAAAATAGAAACACGGAAAGAAAGGAAAGGAATAAGTACGAGAACAGAGAGGATCATGGCCCCCACATCAAGAAGGGCAGCCAGCAGTGGAGGACACTGGAAGACCTGGAGTCAGCCTTAGATGGGCACTGGAGGGACCAGGAGAAAATCTTAGGTGGCAATTAAATGCTACCATTCCAAGTACAGAGGGCACCAATAAACTCCCAGGGGAGAACACTTGGGACTGAGGGGCAACTGTACCAGCCTCGTGTCCAACAGCAGGCACCATCTGAGGGCCGTCAGACTGAACAGTTAAATTTGTGCTGAAGGGTAAATTCCTGTAAACTTATTGACTATTTCATCCAACAGCCAGGCTGACTTTCCCTTACTCTGTCAAAGACTTAAGATCAGTCAGCCCATCAGGAGAGGTTGATGTGGGCAGGTGGCAGCAAACCGTGGTGCTTCACCTCCCAGCAGCACGAGGGCTGGGTTCTGGCCTTCGATTCCCTCGCCTTGGAGAGCATTTCAAACAGGAACAATAGCAACCATTCCACCTGTCACTGTTGCTCTATATTGAATTCCATGGAGATTTTCTGGAAGAACAAATTTGATTAATGTAACTTTTCCTTCTTATCGCTGATGACTACAGTATTTTGTTACAATTCATCAAATCTCTGCACAGCCAAGTTTTTATTTAGTGTAACTAAGCAATGCCTTAGCACATTGAAGAACTTGCAGAGCAGATATGCAGGCTTCCAAGTAATTTCAGGTACATTTTGGTCTGTTCTGAGATTCCACAGGCAAAGCACATGGAAGTCTTTGGGGAGATGAAGGAAGTGCTTTAAACAGAGGACCAAGTTCCCAGGAGGACAGCTGGGGAAGCCAGCTGAGGAAGATGAGGTGTTTGTGGTGGAACAAAGGACTCATGTGGACTGGGTGGTAAATAACTGGGGTGTGCAGGGTGCTGAAGGGTCAAGACCACATTTCAGGCTGAGTCTCAGCACCCTGAATGTCACCTGGCGGAGAACTTGGGAGAAGGCACAGGAACCGCAGGGTTTCCTCTACAATAGGGATGCGAGACTTGGAGAGTGGAGGAGTGTGGAGGAGAAACGACAGTCAAGGAAGCTTGAAGCTGACATAATCTCCTGGAGAAAGACTAGGGGCCGACTAAGCTGTGCTGCTGGGGTGAAGAGTGAGGCACGGCTCACAAAGCAGGTGTAGGTGTGAACTGCTGGACTCGGGAACCAGCCAAGTGGCACAGATGCAGGCTTGGAGGAGACCAGTGTGGTTGCCACCCTCTCTTTGCAGAAGCCTGAAAACCCCGTCGGGAACAGCAACTCCAACCGGGTGGTGTCATGGGACATGGGCA